TTTGAATTCAAGCCACAGAAGATTCTTAAAACTGTATGGGAAACTGAGTACGGTGAGAAAACAAGAAAGATGAACAGCAAAATATGACAGGACATGCTTATTAGCAAGGCATTTGCAACTGCACATAATTCACAATTAATGTGGGAAGGTTCAAACCTGAGCATTTGGGTTCTGGGTCCCAATATTTGGGGGAAAGGAAGAGGCCTATTGCTTTCTAACAAGCATGTCATAAAAGGTGACTAATTAGATGTATTTCCTTTGAAGTCAGAATCATCAGCCTGAAAATGAGGAACCAACAGTCTGCATACAAATAAGCCAGATCTGTAAAAACGATGTGCGTGCAAAACTCAAGTTTCTGGAACAAAACCAAAAGTCCAGAAGTGAATGAACAACCAGAACTCTCCACCAGAGTTCAAGGCCGATGAACATGAAGAAGAAACCCTCAGCTATTCAAGGCTGAAACTGAAGAATTTAGCCACTGATCACTACTGAACATGGGCTACTGTGTTACAGAGCAGGCCTACTAAGTATTATGCCACTTCAGCTCTCAAGCTCGTTAATATCTTCCTCTTCTTCTTTTACATTCATCTTTAACCCTGTTGCACAGAGAAAGCAGTTTTTATGATATTTACGAGTCTTTAGGCATTGGCCACTACACCCATAAAACAGCTTTGCTACTGGCTTCAGCTATAAACTGTGCAGACATGGTGCACATGAATCATATCACCTGGAGACGTGACTAACTTTTAAGAAAAAAGAATCAACTCACCTTGAGGTCCATAGGTATGAAGATCTTAATGTTTTCCAGAGAAAGCAGTTGAAGAGAACTTGTCTGGGGTGAATAACAAACAAAGTGCTTGCTGTCCTCCAAAATGACACAGCTGCAACATCAACATGGATAAGTATAGGTCAGGGTTGACAAGATGAGCAGACATAAATAATCAGACACACATGAAGACTGCACCTAAATAATCACAAGCCAGAGTTAATAGAGGAAGGAAGGAGACAAGGAAAGAAAGGAGGAAAGGAAAGATAGGTGAAAAGGAACGGGGAAGGAAATAGGAAATAAGGAGGGAGGAAAGCAAGAAATGAAGGAGGGAGGAAAGCAAGAAATGAAGAAGGAAGGGCACAGTGTTGACAGGATGAGCAGACTTAAATAATCAGACTACTGTTAACAAGATGGGTGTACATAAATGATCACAACCTAGGGATGATACAGAAAAGCAGGAGAAAAGGAAAGTAGGAAAGCGAGGAGAAAAGGAAAGGGTATGTAAGGAAACAGGAAGTCAGATGAGAGGGAAGTAAGAAAAAAATAAGGGAAAAAAAAACAAAACAAGGGAGGACAGGAATGAAGAAGGGAGGATATGAATAAGTTGGATAAGCAAGAGATGAAAGGAAGGAAGCATATGGGGGAAATAAAGAAGACAATAAGAACTACAAAGGAAAAAAGGGCGGGAGGAAATAAAGGAAGGAAGGCAGCAAGGAAAAAGGGAATGAAAGAAGAAGGAAGAACAAAAAGAAGGAAGATGGGATGAAAAGAAGGAGGCAGATAAGCAAGAGATGATTAAAAAAAAAGATGGAAGGAATAATAAATGGAAGAAAAATGGAAGGAAAGGAAGGAAGGATTTCAAGAAATCATGTCCTCACCTGGTGTCTTTAGCAATCCAAGGGGCAGGAACATTTTTATGCTGCTTGACTGCACCACGAGGGCCAACTGTTGCCACAGTCACTCGCTGACCAGGTGTGATACCCACTGCAATGTAGCCATCAGGCCGTTCGTGGACATGCCACCGGCTGACTGTATCGCTGACGGAATGAAAACAGTGAAATGTGTTAGTCACATGTGACTTAGAGTCTCTACTATCCAGACGAATTATAGATAATTCTGTGACAGACCTCAACTTACAGATAAGTTGATTTTTTGAATTGTTAAAATTTTTATTATTGTATCATTTTTCACTTTTGTGCTGATAAAGGCTTTCTTGCTGCAGTGTCTGTTAATGACCTTTAACCCTGTGGCTCCAGGACCCCCCTCCCCCGTGTTGGCGACAGAAGAAAAAAAAAAGGGGGGGGGGAGGGGGGGGGGCTTATGAACCTAAGCATTTGTGAAAACAAAATCCTTAAATAAACAACCATTTGACACAAGTCACCATCATTTTTTTGTAAACAATTTATTCATATTGATTTTTTTAATGTTTTTGGAAAATTTGAAGTAGAGTAATCAATAAACACGAATGAAGTGAAGAATTAAGCATATGGTGGCTCACAACCTGATTCCTGAACACATTGGAATTTTAACACAAACTCTTATGGAAAAATTTCAGATGTCATAATGGCCTATTAAACAGCTATTTTATTCACAACGCCATTACAACCATGTCTACTTGCCACTGCCATGGATACCACAGAGGGCCGGTATTTACTGCAGGCCTAGCTCTGTTCTTGTGGACAGCAGCATTCTAAGGTGTTTTTATGTTGTTTTTTCATTTTGTAGATGATGCTGTTGTGTTCAGAACATAAGATGGCTCGAAGGACTTATTTGAATATTTAATAAGGACATCATAGCGCTCCGTGTCAATTTTTAGCAGCAAGCAAAGAGTTCTAATTCCGTTAGTACTAGTAACTGTCTGAAAGTACATCCATCTCACTCTTTTCTTGAGTGTTTAGCGTCGACCAGATACCCTGGTACTCCCTGCAGCACCATTCTCCTCAGACTGTAATGACCTATTTGTGCCTCCAGACTGTTCATTTGCTCCCAAAGGGCCATCATAACTTCTGGCTTTTCATACATCAATTCACCAGCAAGGGGTGCAGAACCGGCCAGTTTGTCTGCCTGCTCATTTTCCAACATACCAGCATGACCTGGAGAAAATATCCAAATGACGCTAACTACCAAGGACCTCTGAAGCGATGCCTGCCACTCTGAATATCAATGAATATGAATACAGCAATTTACTATTGCAGCAGTTAAAAATGCTGAGACAAGCAAAAAACATGGCTACCTGTTTGGCAGTTCAGCCCTCCACTGTTCGCTTCCATCGGACACTTTCAGGCAGTGCAGTGTGCTGGATGTAGCCACAATAATTTCTTCTCCTGTGAGTCACAATCAAATGATTTTACCAATGTGACTGTATGAGTATGTGTATTATAATGTGCATAGGTGACATCAGTATGTCTATGACTGTCTCTGTAAGTGTGCCTGTGTGTATGTTAATGGATGTGTGTGAGAATATGAGTTACTGTGTTTATGTGTGCCACTGAGTGCGAGATAGACTGTATGTCTGTGGTGACTATATGTGCATATGCACATTACTAGACCTACTGTACGTTTTAATAGATCAAAGGCACACTGATGGGTGATAGGGTAAACATTTTTCCAGCCATCTTTACCTCCTTCGATTGTAAAGACGGCACCATTTTGTGTGTGGGTTCATAATTTAGCGTCAGTACCTTCTATGGGGTTAGCTTTACTTACTCTTTTCTTCTTCTTCATTTTCACTGACTCTAAACCCCCGCGATACATTCTGGTTGTTCATCCACTACCTGACTTTGGTTTGTTCCAGAACTTAAGTTCTGCTTGCACATCAATTTTACAGATCTGGCTCATTTGTATGCAGACTGTTGGTTCCTTGCCTCTCAGGCAAACACACTCCTGACTTTGAAGGGAACACCCATAATTAGTCCCCTTTTACAACATGCTTGTCGGGTCTATGCTTTTTATTTTCTCCCCAAAATGGGGCCCACGAACCCATGCAGGGAATAAGGTCAACATAATATCAGTCTATTAAAGCCCTAAAACAATGACATACTGCACAGTAATACTTACTATTTTCCTCTTTCCCAACAAAGAAAGCTGCTGCCCTGCAACAGTTAACAATAATACAATGTAAATTCATCACAATCATCAACATTAAATGAGTTATACTGCACTGTTTCATCCCTGCCCGTGACTCTTTACTCTGATTTTTTTAAATTGCTTCCCTAAGCCTCCGACTGTCCCCGGTCTATCCATAAGTCACCATGTGTGTCTCTATGTCAGATCTTTCTTCTTCTTCTTGGTCTTCCCCGGCATCTTGGTGTTTGTTTTGATTTTCAGGTTGTACGCTCTTGCTGCTGGCACCATTGGTTTAATTAAAGTGACATATAAATGGGAAGAAAAAAACTGGTGTCGAGGCCTGATGGTTGTGAACGCAGTTTTGCAATCTCGACACATCATGGTTTGAAGTAAGCTGCAGGGAATCTGATAGGACCACTTTGCACATTGATTAAGTACTGGTAGGTTAGTGCTCTAGCCACTGATATATTCTTCTTCTTAACATACAACGGTGGTAAACTTCGGCAGAAAGTTTTGGCTGTTCACTGCCTTCTGTCTTCATGTGGGCTGTGAGGTTCAATTTTGAGTGTGAATGTGGGGCAGAACAGATCCACACTGAATACACACCCCTCTCCCCTCCTCCTAAAAAGCATGTCATAAAAGTCCAGTAATCATGGGTGTTTCCTTCGAAGTCGGACTGCACCTGCCTGAGAGGCAAAGAACCAACAGTCTGCATACACATAAGCCAGATCTGTATAGCAGATGTGCATGTAAAACCCGTCCAGAAATAAAGACCAAAGTCCAGAAGTGGACGGCCAACCAAAACTTTCAGCTGGAGTTTACAGCTGCTAAATGTGAAGAAGAAGAAGAACCTCTGAATTTTAGTCTTGTTCCAGAGCCTGAGCTTGCACACACATATACTTCACAGATCTAGCTTATTTGTATGCAGACTGTTGATTCCTCAACTCTAAGGCAGACGCAATCTGATTTTAAAAAAACCCTAATTAGTTGCCTTCTTCAGCATGCTTGCTGTGGAATTTTTTGGGGGGAAGAGGGTGGAGGGTGGTGGTATCCCCCCCCCCCTACCCCAACCCCACCATTATTCACAATGGGGCCCCTAAAAAACACACAGAAAACTATTACATCAGGTATCACATGTAAATATTGACATTCTGAAAGGAAACACTCACCAGCTATTGACGTCATTGGACAAACTTTTCTCCCAAATGAGGCTGCCAGATTCCACTTGCCAGCTGCGTACAAACTGGCCACCAGCATGAACGCTGATAAGAACTACAAAATTCAAAAGAAAGTACACAACAATCTGAGTTGACAAGCAAGAGGAACAAACACAATGATTCTTCTTATCCCCCGTGTGGGTTCCGGGAGCCCCATTGTAGGGAAAACAAGAATAGACCCACTGCCTCCCCCAAAAGCATGTTGTAAGACTTCCTCATCCACTATGGTTTTATACATTTACCACATAGATGCCAAGGTGAATCCTGTGTGGCAGTATACAGATAGATGAGTCTGCATCATTTTCCTCCAGTCATGGTTTACGAGCTCTGCATCTCTAGGGACTATCAGCTCTGAAAATCCCAAACAGTTTTATTCTTCTTATACCTTCAGACGTCAATGTGGATATATTTGAAGAAATCAGCAGTCAACCTGAGGTTGTTGACATCTTCACGCAGTTTAACCTTAAAGGGAGTGGGTGTGAGTCAAAATAATTTTCTCTGCTCTGCAAATGTTGGACACTCTTGTAGCACGTGTTTAGCTGTCATTTTACCCTTTCCACAGTTACAATCATCAGGGACACATGAATCGACTGCTACTGGTACCATAAGAACTGGAAATATACGCTGGCCACTACAGATGGCAAGCATATTTAAACAATCTTGAGTGCTGTGAAGGTGATTCTGAACTCAACTCAATTGCCTAGGGTTTATTTTACAATGAGAGATGAAAGCAGTACAAATCTGTGGCATACAGCTTTGAATATTCTGGTTCGGAAAAAAAAATATGAGTTAAATGTAGTAGAACTGCTGGCTGGAAAGAACTTACCACTGTCTCGATGAAGAAACTGGTCGATACGCCCTCTCATCGACGTTTCAAACAGCCTTCTCCATACTGAAACAACAACCAAAATATTATTATTTGTTTTCTTCTACCTATTGTTGTCCACCCACATAATATACTCTTTAATCACAAATGAACAACACTAACTCTATAATTCATGATTATGTGTTTGTAGATAGGCACAGACAGTCATGGTCATTTTCCCACATAATCACCAGAATTACAGATCAGGTCAGTGCTCTTGTCCCAACCAATCTCTGTGGCCAAGCTATTCAGCAATTTACCTTTACTGCCTTCCCCTTGCACTTTTCAAACCAATAAAGAACATCAGGTTCTTGAGTCTGATCATTCTCACGGCATGTACCAAAAATACGGACTCGCTATGTCTAATTAGTTTACAGTATTCATCTGTCGTAACAGAATTGCCCCAGTTTACAGTTTTCATATGTCGTGAACAGAATTGCCCCATTTTACAGTTTTCATCTGTCATGAACAGAACTGCCTCAGTTTAGTTTTCATCTGTCATTAGTTTTCATCTGCTTTGAACTGCCTCATATGTGTTTCGATCATTTTTTTTTTTTGCATTCTTCTCAAAACACATTTCAGCTGCCAGTAGGTGTTTTGGCCTCATATGCTTACTGTCTATAACAACGCAAGTTTTAAATAGCACCTTAACCTTTTTATCCTCACTAGAACTGACACCATATTTACCACATACATAAACACTACATGATAACACATACATAAATTAATACATAAATTCTACAATGACCACACACCTATGCTCCCATCGTGTGCATTCAGAGAGGCAATAACATTCTTCTCAGTTGCAACCAAGACTCGTTTGCCCGGGGAATGTGACTGCTCCCAGTAAAAGTGCTGCACTTTACCAACATAGTCTTGCTTCCTGTGAATACAGAAAGTGTTGAAAAAACATATTTTAGCAGTATCACTGTTTTTGCTACACATCCAACATGTTTGAGCCAGAATGACGTTTGACCTGCTTCTACTTTTAATTAATAAATCACTACATGTTAGTAATTTAGTTGCAGGAAATATAAATTTCACTTCTACAAAGAATTAAAATATTGAATTATAATTTTATTTCATAATTTGATCTGATTTAAAACATTTAAATGTTGTTATTCCATAAGTCTGCTGTTGTATGCCATTCACACCCATCATGGAGGCATTTTGGGAACTTTTTTTAAAGTACTTAACTTAAAATGCTTACTAAGTTAGTAATGTAATGTGAGTTATTTTTTTTTTTTTAATCCACAACCATTTAGCATTTTTGTATGCATCAGTCATTATTTAGAGTTCACATAAATTTCTGCTGGAGATATTTTGCTCGATCACACCCAAATCCTGATAATCAATTTCAGCCGTCATGGCCATATTTTCTGAGCTTCTTTAGTAATTAACTTAAAATACTTACTTAATTAGTAATGTTATGTAAGTTTTTTTTTTTGTTTTTTTTTAAAATCCACAATCATTGTAGCATTTTTTCATCATCTGTCATTATCTAGGGTTCATAGAATTTTTTGTTAGAGATATTTTTACCTGATCACCCTTAATCCGATTCTGGATTTTGGCCATCATTGCCGCATTTTATGAAATTCTTTGGTTATTAATTTAAAATACTTACTAAATTAGTAATGCTATGTGAGTTATTTTTTTTAAACATCCACAACCAGTGTTGCAATTGGTCATGCAACTGTCACTATTTCAATCTGACAGAATTATCTGAGACATTTTTACCCTTTTTTTACCCTTACATTTTTTGCCTTTGTTTAGGCATTTTACCCATCAGGCCACATTTACGGAACATTTTTTTTTTTGGTAACTAAGTTTAAATACACACTAAAGTACTTTGTTACATGTTTTAAAAATCTACAACATTAATAAATTAACAACACACAAATGATACATACTCGCTTACAAAGAGCAGCTAATCCACAGGTGTACATCTATTTTTGAATATAATCACATTTATATGATGTGCAAATTCTAACAGATAGCATTTAAACCATGTGGTTTTATAGATGAATGATGAGAAACCGTAGATAGATCAAAAGAGTAATAAAGATGTCTTGAAAGAAACTGACTCCCGAAGAGAACTGATTGCCCACACATCAGAAAGAGACAATATACATTCTTTTCATGCGATGAGAAGGAGAAAACTGGGGTACATCATGACAGTAGGAAAGTTGGAGGGGAGGAGAGGCAGAGAATGACAGAGAGAACAGATGCTGGACTGTCTGACATGGCATGGAAAACATCATCTGCGTCAGAGTTGACTGAAAGTACATGAGAAGGTTGTGGACAGTTTGCAAACATGGCATGGAAGACCATCTGTGTCAGAGTTGACAGAAAGTATATGAGACAGAAGGCTGTGGACAGACATGACTACCAACGCCTCACGGTATGAACTTACAGAAGAAGAAGCATCCAAACCAATGTGCAGTGATGTAGATTGTGATAACATAAGTTTAACACACTTTATACACAAGTGCTCCACTAAAATATCTACAAACAAGTTAAAAACTACAGAGTAAAAGCTGGACACTTAGTGTCTAAGTTATTAAGTCATTCGCCAGAGACAGATGAAGCCATGCTGGGTAAATCCAAGCACAATGAAGTGGATATTTTTTACTTTAAACCTGTTTTCATCATTAACTCATAAAGTGATTACTTAGAACTAGTCAGTTGGCAGCCATTTTTATATGTTAATTAGGTTATGCCAGCTTATGTAGACATTTTGTGTGTTATCCGTATGGCCGCCTCATCAGTTTGCACAATATGGTATACATCTTGCCAGGCTCGTTGGCAGATAACCATAGCTTTATATGGTGTTTACTTACAAACAGTGAGCTGGCTAGCCATTTGTATTTGTCAATTAGGCTCATACTGCATCACATGTATTTGAGAAATGCATATACAGTTAGGCCTCATTGTCCCTATTGTAATGATAGGGGTTGCTAAGGGGTTCGTTAAACAACAAAATAGTTACGGCCACAAAATGCAAACATTTAGTCATTTCCACCCTTTATTTTGCCAGGATGCAACTCAGCATCCATCTTTTGTCAGCTTACATTGTTACTGTAATTTGCCTATGGTGGTATACACCACTAAAATGTTAATAATATCTCCGCTTAACATTGAGTCGATTGACTCACAGGCTTCATTTTGGTATCACAGGATTTGCTATTGCCATTTTAATCTCCAAGTAGCTGTGGTGGCTTCATAAATAAAAACCTGATGTACACAACTTTACTAGCAACACTTTACGGCTACGAATGATATTGATAATATTAATGACTGATGATAAAATCCCCCCCCCCCCCCTCCACACACATTTTTTTCTTTTCCTCCCTAACTTCCTACCCCCTGTGTACTTATTCTAGTGTGTGCCTTGACTCTGGCAATCAATTTATATTCAGTCATCGGGAAGGGGAGCGGGTGTGTATTCCGTTGTTTTGGTTACGTAACATGTAATTTATAAAATTTAAACATGCAACACACAAAATGAATAGTTCCTGCCAATTTTGATTTTTGGTCAGTCACAGCTCATGGCTTTCCTTGCACCTTTGGACGCAAGCTGGACGGCTTAGGTCGGCTTAGTGGGAGTTCTCTCCCTTGGCCGCATTGAAAACAACGAGCGGAAAAAGTCACGAATCAAACAAGACAGTGAGGCCGACATCAGGGCTGCCAATGCATGGTTGTGTCCCCCAGATCTGGGTTTTTCTGTTGATGCTGCGGGGAAATCTGTTTTTTTTGTGTGTGTGTGGGTGTTTTGCCGATCTGTATGCTTTAATGACCGATAAATTTGCGTGGTTAGGGGTAGGGTTAGGGTTAGCGGTAGGATTAGGGTTAGGGGTAGGGTTAGGATTAGGGGTAGCGTTAGGGTTACAGATAGCTTCTTCTTCTTCTTCTTGTTCACCGGCTGGGAATTCCGGCGGTAAGTCGCGGTTGTTCGTCCAAAATGGACTTTTTGCTTTTACCTTGACCTGAGTTTTGCGTGTACATCCGTTTTACTGGCTTATTTGTTCGCAGTTCTCGTTCCCCGCCTCTCCGGCAGATGTATTCCGACTTCGGAGGAAGACGTCAAGCCTATTTCTAGGTTGACTGTGGCCATTGTTTTGTGTGGGTCGAGATGTTGCCTCATTTGTGTGGTGTCCTCTTTGACCTTAACAGGTTTGGCCCCCGAAATGTCGTCCTTAAGGCAGCCCTATGTAGAATTGTCAGCCCTCAAGGGAAGGCAGGGGCAGATCATGGGCATTCCCCGCCATCCAAGGAGGCTTCCATAAATGCAGAGCCGACACATGATGCTTTGGTTCTGGGCTCACCCAAGGAATCGTCACGTCCTGCCCATGACTGCTTAACCTCACAACCGTGTATTGAGCTTCCCGCGCTACAAGGCTGCGCTCTCCGGAGATCAGCGGGGAGCAGCCTGCAGGTCCAGGACGTTTGTGGCCACACAAATAGGTACATTCTTTTTCATCTTACGTTAGACACCTTTAACGTTGTTTCAGCTGTGCCCTTAGCACGACAGAATGGGGAAGCAAAATGCGTCAGGCGTGGCTTCACCTGTTTGGTCCCAACACTCGGGCGAGTTGGACCAGTGGGTACGGACATTCAGACTTTTTCCTAATCGGTACGAATTATGATCGTCGGACTTTGAGCTTGCATGTGTGCCGTGGGGTGTAACTTTGTCGAACATTGTTTTCAAGCCAGCATATGAATAGTTGCTGCCGTGGTGTACCTCAGCACGGTGACGACGACACTGAGGATTGACAGAGGATGTACGTAGGTAGGATCTTGCTGGGAGAAGTCGCCCACAAGAGATGTTACTCGTCTTGGCTGCGGGTAAATCTCTCGGTCAGGGTTGCGTCTCAGCAGCACAGTTTTCCATTCGCTCCCGAATTTTAACCAAGAGTTGTCATTTGATGGTACATTTAGCAAGCAATCCTTGAGTTTTGTTACTTTTCACCCATGCGATTGGGGGCGGGCTGGTGAGAGCCAGAAAGGACACTACACCTCTAGGGGCCGCCAGCTCCGAGATCCCCTGCCAACTCTGTTAATGCTCATTTGAGACATTATCCGTGGCGCACGACGGGGACGTGCAGCAGGAGTCTTGCATGAGGTTCCGTAAAACCAGAACAGTGAAGGACTGGCACCCGAGTGGGGTACGGAGTATCTCCTTATACACCTCACATCAGACTTAACTTTGCCTCATGCCTGTGACTGAAATCACCGCGCCACAGTTACGGATAGCGTTAGGGGTAGGGTAAGGGTAGGGTTAGGATTAGGGGTAACGTTAGGGGTAGGGTTAGGGTAAGGGTTACGGTTAGGTTTAGCGTTTGATGTGACAATTGTGACGCCATAGTTCCCTATAATCGCGCACAGTCACATACACACGCAAACAGTCGACGGACGGTGGATGCTACTGACACGGACAAATCGCCACCGATTGGGCACCAGCGGCGCGCTATTGCCGTCATATATGGCACACTTCCAGTGGCGCCACTTCCACAAGCATCAGATTGTCGCCCAGTATTTGGAAGTTCTACGTCACCATTTTCACATTATCACATCTAACCCTACCCCTAACCCTAACCCACACCCTAGGCAACCCTACACGCAACCGTATGATGATGATAGACACCCTACGCAGCCCTACACGCAACCGTATGAAGATAGGTAACCCTAGACACAACCGTATGATGACTACGCAACCCTAAACGCAACCCTGCACGCACCCGGATGATGATAGGTAAGTATGTCATTTGATTCGTGACTTTTCCGTTCGTTGTTTTCAATGCGGCCAAGGGGGAGAACTCCCACTAAGCCGACCTAAGCCGTCCAGCTTGCGTCCAAAGGTGCAAGGAGAGCCCAGCTCATCATCATAGCACTCCGGGGTCATTAAACCCGGTTCGTGATTTTAGTGTTGTTCATAGCTATATGTGTAATACTGACAACATTTATAAATATAACTGTAAATAGCTCGACTGTTTCGCTTACCAGTCGAACAATCCAGCCTGGTCTTCGTACAAACCCAAAGCGCACCAAAACACAGCAGACAGTAGCAATGAACTCAGCAACCTGCTGGGATTCGCCATGTTGTTTTCGGTTCGATTTTTTAAAATATTGAACTACGGGTAAAAAACCTTTATTTTTGACTACGAAACAATAATAATGTAATACCGTTTTGAATAAATGAATAGACGTTACTGTCCTCTGGACATTCCTTCCTATATTTATTACTAATTAGCTCCGTCCACTTCCACGGTAGCCAACGAAGAGTTTCCATACTGATGGTGTCAGATACATCCTGATTAAATGATCGCATTCTCATGCTATATGTTATGACGCTATACGGTTATACGCTAAGCTTTCTTTAAAAAATTAAAATTTAAAAACAGTTCACCTTTACAATTAAACCCTCATCATCACCATCATAAGGTGCCTTGCCGACTAGCGTGGGTGATTATGCCTCTCCATAATCTGCGATCTCCTGCAGCATGTATCAGTTTGTGTGCCGACACACATCCATGCCATGCAACAAGACTGTTAAGAATCTTCTCTCATAATCTATCCCTCTTTC